ATTTGTAATTCATTTTCTGAGACTTGCTTGTTCCTGTTCTCTGCCTACTTCCTTTGTTTTTCTATTATAATACATTTACATGATATTATTGCTATTTTAGGAGTCCTGATGTGGCGTTGTAGGATAAACACTGGACCACAGGTCAGTTTGAACTGAAACGTCGGTGTTTCAAACCTCCAGCCGCTCCTCATATAAACCCTATACAGGGTCACTATGAGTGGGAATCAAGCTAACAGCACTTAACAACAACAACATTGTTATTTCTATTATTATAATTTGTATACTCTAGAAATCTCTAGCTTAATGTAGCTCCAAATGTGGCTTGCAGTATTAAGATTTTTCCAAGAAGAAACATGAACTGTCAGGTGCTCATGCTGCAAAGCATGCTGGGCATCACCGAGCAACACCATCCAGTGAGCAGCAGTAGCAGCAGTAGCATTGTCTGTGAGCTGCTTTGGAATCACTTGAGGAATTTAATGATAATTAGGAATCTAGGAAAAGGCTTCTTTCCGTCACTGTTTAAGCCCTCCACTCATCCTCTTCAAAAGGTCGAGTAGCCAGCTGCCAGGAAAACAACCTCTTCCCTCCCCACACACACACAAAAATTATGATTCCAAAATCAGAGTTATCTGAACAGAGATCCAGGCAGCACTTCATCAGTGTCATCTCCTGCTGTTTGGCTTCCTCATCCTCTTCCTCTGAGCTATCACAGCGCCTTGTTTATGTGTCAGAGGGAGACTCTGACAGGGCTCAGGACTGAATATTTATAACTGATTTTTTTGAAAGGAAGCTTCATGTTCTGTACCTGCCTGTCGAGTTCTCATTGTGCACTGAAGGACATGGTCTGCATAGCTAATGATTTCAAGGCAGATGCCTTTTACCCAAGGACATTTTATGAAAGCTTAAACATGAAAACAAGTGCTAGCCGAGGCGGATTCTTCAGAAACAGAGTCCAAGGAAAAGCCAGCAAACACAAGCTCTAGTTGCAAATTAAGTATGCCCTTATCTTATCCCTATTACCTCTTGATTGTATTTTCACGGGGTCAGAAATAAAAGAAACTCTGGGCATATTTTCCAGAGGCAGCATTTGTGTTCTCATCTAAGAAGAAGTAGAAAGTAGAGAAAAAGAAATGGTATGGGCCAGGGAACTGAAAATCTTGCAGATCAAATAGTAAAATTGATTTTTAAGGTTGGCTTTACCTAAACTTTAACTTAATAGTATAAAATAAGTAGATATAAAAAAGAGATCATACATATCAAGTGTAACTATAATATAATGAGATCACTTTACTATGGATTTAAAAACAACAACAAACCTACCAATCTTATTATAACACAGGAGTGCTCTCCTTCGAGGTAATTACCTTGGAAAAGTGTATGATAATTCCAAGTACGCAGCAATTGCTCAAAACATTTTTCAAGCTCTCCTTGGAGTTGCCTTTAGAGTCAGTTTTACACACCCACAAGAGAGTGATTCATTACTTAATAATCACCCCACATTTGGGACCTCAAACCTTCACTGCCTGGTTCCAACACCCATCACTCACCAGACAAAAAAATCAAATCCATCTTCAAAGGATGGATATTTATCATGCACAATGGAATAAAAGAATGATGTGCTACTGGCTCTCGAGGCAATTTGTCTTGAGAGTGGAAACCACATTTTGGAAATCACAGAAAATCGCTTTGCAGGCATACCACTTGATTGATAGCGTTAAGTTCTAATAAATTTATAATTTTTTACTTGGTAGTTACACTCTGCAACCACCCCCTTGTTCAAGGGAGGTACTTCCAGTTTTCTTCCACCAACCCAGGGCTCTCACACCTCATGCCTATAGTGTTTTTCTTTGGGGCATTGTCATTTTTCTGTGTGCTCTGCTTTCTACAGCTCAACCCTAGGTCTCTAAATCCTTAGCTACTGATTGGTTCACATTGATGTAACTCAGACATCTCCCTGAGAATGACTTAATAAGCACTTGACCTTCTCTCTGCCTTAATCCTGACTCGGCCAGTTTCCAAACAGGAGCTATAGTCAATAATGCTAGAATCTGGACTGCAAGCTATAAGAAGGCACAATTTACAAGACAGGAGTTCCTCCACAAGACCTGGTCTTCCCGGTCTGCTCAGAGGCAGTCAGGGTTCCACCGCCTGGCTAACAGCAGATAACTTTCATCAGAATTTGGTGGGTTGTAAATTAATACACAGCACATAACCACCACCACCACCAAATTAATACAACCATAAAGAATAAAGCTGTAACGGGCTGTTCTGATAGGACCAAATTATTCGTCAAAACGGAAATGTTTAGCATCTCATTCATTATTAAACTGGAAAACAGTTTAGTTGGATTCCTGCAAGGGTCAGCCTATAGATGCAAGCTCAGATATGAAATTATCATGTTCTTTTAATGATTTTTTAAAAAATAATATATATATTGGATAAAGGACTTCAGAGAAAATAAAAGCCACGCAAATAAGAGTTTGCCTAAGTTTCTATAGTCGAGTAAAATTTCTGAAGGGTTTCCCCCCTTCTCTTCCATGCCCTAAATCTTCCTAAGCCAATAAGGAGAAATTCCACAGCAACTGTGACCCAAAATTATACTACAAAGATTAACAGCTGTGTAATTCCAAGACCAAACAGGTGTACAGGTCAAGATACATGAAACGGCCATGCCTCTCCCAGCTCGCTCTCTCTGCTGAGTTTGCTAGAGTTAAAGATGGGTTGGTGATTAAAGATAGGGTGATGTGAAACCAAACCAATCCAAACAAACAAAAAACAAAGCTGTTGCCACTGAGTTGATTGTAATTCAAAGTGACCTGACAGAACACGATAAATTGCTCCATAAGCTTTCTGAGGATTTTGCAGAAGCAGATTGCCACATCTTTCTTCCACAGAACAGCAGGGTTCAACTGCTAACTTGAGATAAGTAGTCAACTTTGAGTGGTATGCATAGCTGGTTGGGACCATGAGGTGTCATACTATAGAATTCTTTATTTTACAGCACAACTGATCTGAACTCTGCCTACAATGTTCCATAGGCCAATTTGAACTGCTGGGGCAACCAGCCAGGCATGCCCTGGCTCTTAGCCATCGCCTGTGCCAATACAATACGCATTTGTTTAGAACTATACAATACACATTTGTTTGGAACACAGCCTTGGAATATCTTTAGATTGTCGGAAGAAAGGCCTGTTCTTTACAACACAAGAATGACTGGATTTTTGTGACTGTCACAAGTACAGGGCACACATGTTTGACGACAAAGAATACTCATTTTCTGAATCTACTTCAAGAACATGAAAGCAAGAAACATAAGGCAACGTAAATCTCCTGGTGTGTAACAACATACATAGTTCATGTTTCTTTTCTACAATGTTCTCCCCATATCTGCTTGAATACAGGTATCAGCTCCTACTTCTGTACAACTTCTGGCTTTAGAATGCCACTGTTTCCCTTCATGACCTCAAACAAAGGCACAACTTTAGTATAGGTCTTTTGTAGTCTGTGGGAAGAAGCATTTCCTCCAGATTTGAATCTCCTCAAATAAAAAGGAGGAAGAAAAAAGACAGCCTGTCTGCATATGATCTACAACTAGACGCATGCAAATGCTCAGAATCACTCCAGGGATTTACTGGCAAATGCTCAAGGGAGAAAGCACATAATGGTTTTGCAAACCTGTTTGGTGAGATGTACTGAACATACAGGATCTCAAAACGAAAGCACTGGCATTTTTTAATATAATGAAATCTCTAAAATAAATGAAAAACGAAAAGACTATTATAACAAACACCAGTGTTTGTTAAAATATTTAACATGACTGCCATATTTACTTCTAATTTTTTTTTTAAATGAAGTAAAATATGACATAGAGATTTGTATATCCTTCCATGTTAATAGCTCATTCTTGTTGCCTTCTCAGAAGCAACGTTATCCAGAAATTGATGTGTTTCTTTTCCATCCATGTTTTTATATTTTGATGACAGTCCACAAACAAAATCTTGTATTGTTTTACAGCATAGCTGAAATATTTATGCAATTTTCTTTTTACAATTAGAAAAGTGAAAAGATATCAAAATGTGTTGAATTTGTCTACGATGTTGGACCTGATTCATCAACCAGGAATCAGATTTTCAAAGTAATGCCTAAGTTTTTTTTTTTTTCTTTAAATGTTTTATTGTGAATTATGTGATAGTTTACATAGGAGAACATTAGTTTTACATTCATTCTATCGTATATCATCTCATTGCCATGGTTACAATCCTTTCCATGCAATCCTTCCCCTGTACCCCCCAGGTCTTCAGCACACAGTCGCTCTCCCTCTCTGGATCTAAAGTCTCCTGCTGCTCCATTGCTCCACGTCATCATCTCTGGCTCCATTTCAGGCATCACTGCTTCTCTGGGTAGGGTCCCGCTCTCTGCTCTTCTTCCTTGATGGTCCTAGGGACCTCCGCTCCTAGACTGAAAAGTTAATCACTCCCCTCCTTGCTATAAAACGTCTACGTTTATATTTCTGACCCTCACAATCAGTCCTGATAACAATTATTCACTATTGTATCACAAGAGACCCGTCTGCATTTCATTGCATCAGCCCCGCCTAGTCAGATTGAATACTGCTCAGTGGAGATTCTACCTTCCTCCAGGCCCTCTGGATCTAGGTTCCCTCTTGAAAGCTTGTAAGCCAGTCACTTCTTGCATTTGTAGCCCCCCACCCCCCATTTTGGGTAGCCAATGTCCAAGTTGCCCATCCCTGTCTACTCTGTGTGTGGAGGGGGTGGGAATGATTCTTGCTGTAAGGACAATGCCTAAGTTTTAATGGAGAAGTAACATTTCAATAAGAACAACTTCTTCATTGTCTTCCATATACTGATAAAAATCACTCATCATGTATACTTCCATGAACATAAGAGAATTTTATTTGGGTTCATTGTGGTAGTCACTCTAGTAAATTGGCCAGTTAAGCCTTTATCTGCAGTTGACTTTTGAGCACAGTGGTTATTTACCTGACAGAATCAGCTGCTCAATGATCTCTGCATCTCCCAAAAACGCGGCCACATGAAGGGGGGTTCGCTTCTCAGAATCCTGAAACAAACAACATCAAAGATATATATGTTAGTGTCAGCTGGAGCTGCCTTTAGTAGACACAGGAACATGTGTCTCCCACTGTGAGATTAATGTTTGTGGAAGAAAACATCTACTCAGGTGAGTTCTCGTTATACATTTTCTCCTAGTATATCCCAGAGTCACATATATGAAGCATTCCATCTTCTGTGTCTATGCATGGTATAAGGAGCTCCAGTGGCTATGTAGTGGAGCTCTGCTAGCCTAGTGGGTTACCCATTGGGCTGCTAACCTTAAAGTCAGCAGTTCAAGTCCATCAGGTACTCCATGGGAGACAGATGAGGAGAAAGGTTTACAACCTCAGAAATCCTAGACAGAGTTGCTATGAGCCAGAACCAACTTGATGGCATACCACTATCACCAGTGGCTCTGTGGAATAAGCTCTGGACTGGTAACCACCAGTTAAAACCCACCAGATGCTCCAAGGGAGAAAGGTGAGGCATTCTGGTTCTGTAAAGATTTACAGCCTCAGAAACCCTAAACAGAGTCACTGTGAGTCAGAATCAACCCAGTGGCAGTAGGTTTTTGGCGTATGCATGGTATAGGAGCCCTGGTGGCAAAGTTACTAAAGCACTCAGCTGCTAACCAAAACGTCAGTGGTTCAAACCCAGCAGTCACTCAGCAGAAGAAAGATGTGTCAGTCTGCTTCTGTAAAGATTGTACTATGCCCTACAGGCTTGCTATGAGTCCAAATCAACTTGATAACAGTGGTTTTGTCTTTTGTTTGTTTGTTTATATATGGTATTTCCTGCATTACTCATTTTACTAAAGCCCTCTTGAGGCCAAGTGTAGACCACTGCTCACTGGATGATAAATTTCAAAACTTCTTTAAGGTAAAAAACAAAAAAAACCTTCCTACTTACTTTAGTAACATAGTCCAAAACGCTCAAAGACTTATTTTCTAAGGAGACATACTGGAAAATGTTTACGAGGACAGTAAACATAAGTACAATCATTGTCTCCCTCCTTTTCATTCCTATTACCTCAAGCCTGAACCATTTCCCCAGAGTCCTTAGGTAGTACAAAAAGCCAGTCCTCTCAGCAGATAACGGGACAGTTGGTGGTTTAAGTCTGCCCAAAGACAGCTAAGGAGAAAGGTCTGCAATCCACAACCAAAATAGTAAGCACTGAAAACCCTATGAAGCACAGTTTTACTCTGTCACATGGTTCAAATGACCTCAAAAGTAAGTTTGAAGGCAATTGGTTAACTGGTAGGCAGCTCACCCTCCATAGAAAACTTATCTAATGCTACTATAGGGAGCAAGGTGGCTCCATACGATAAGCAGTGAACTGCGAATCACAAGGTCCATGGTTCAAGCCCACTGGACACTCTGTGAGAGAAAGATGAGGCTTTCTGCTCCTGTGAAGATTAAAAACCTCTGAAACCCCACAGGGTTACTATGAGTCAGAACCAACTCAGTGGCACTTAACAACAATGCTACCATGTGCCAGGAACCAGATTCTGGGAAGAGAGAAGGAATCATGACACGTCTGGTCTCTGACCTCATGAAGCTTACACTTAAGAGGGAATGTCAACTACAGTCATGCAAACAAACAAATAAGGTAATTTCAGATGGTAATAAAGCCTATATAACAAAATTAAACCAGAGGATGGAATCAAGTGACTGAAGGGATGATCTTAGATTTATGCAAATGGTTGGTAAGGCCTCTCTGAGGATGCTGACATTTAAGATGAGAGGAAGAACTTCATCTGCTTCATAGATGAAGACATGGTGACTCAAAGAAACTTCCTAAAGGCCCCAGGTATAAACGACCAACATGGGAACCCATGCTTGTCAAGACTCAAGACTTGGTAAGGCCTTTTAACACACTGTGCTAAGAGCTAAGAGACCTCATGATAGCATACAGGGAAAAATACTGCTTCCTTATTTATTGTTGTTGTTGTTGTTGTAAAGTGTTGTCAAGTTAGTTCCAACCCCAAACAACCCTGTATAGGGATCCAGAGGAACAGCTTGTGAGCTTGAACCGCTAACCTAGCAGTTCAAAACAATTGTGCAATCTAGCTCATTAACCCACAGCACCATGTCAGGAGTCCTCCTCATCCATGTATTGGTTATAATACTATTTACCTTAAAGAACTGATAAAGGGATTTAAAACAATGTAAGTAAAGCTGGCAGAGCTTGGCACTGTAGTCTCTATTATCATCAGCATAGATAACCATGTGATAGCTTCCCTTCAAAATGAATGTCCTGAGGATAAAGAATGGGTCTTCCTCCTCTTTATTTCAGGAGGAGTAGTTTACTAAGTAGCGTAGTGGTTACGAATAGGGCTGCGAACCTTAAGGTCAGTGGTTCGAAACTACCAGCCGCTCCACGGGAGAAAGATGAGGCTTTCTACTCCCGTAAGGATTTACACCCTCGGAAACCCTGTACAGGGTCGCTATGGGTCGGGACCGACTCGAAGGCACTTAACAACAACAACAACAAGTTTACTAAGTGCTCAGTATAAACTGGCTGGATTAAACTAGTCTATCTGTGTGGTCTCTTCCACAAACTTCCATTAACTATTCCATAACAACCATAACAAAAGACTTCATATATATCTTTTGAATTCTCCTAAAACTAGCATTTTTTTGCTTCATAATTCTTGAATTTGCCTGGGCCTGGGCCGTCCTCACACTTGTTGCCATGTTTGAGCTCACTGCTGCAGCCACTGTATCAATCCATTTAGCTGAGGGTCTTCCTATTTTTTGCTGATCTTCTACTTTACTAAACATGATGTCCTTCTCCAGAGACTGGCCCTGCCTGATAATACATACAAAGCACTAGAGAAAGTCTCACCATCTTCCCTTCCAAGGAACATTCTGGCTGTATTTCTTCCAAGACAGATTTGTTTGTTCTTCTGACAATCCAAGGTATATTCAATATTCTTTCCAAATACCACAATTCAAAGGCATTAATTCTACAGTTTTCTGTATGTATTTTCCAGCTGTCATAGCCATATGAGGCAACCATATTGACTACCATGGTTTGGGTCAGGCACACCCTGGTCCTCAAAGTGACACCTTTGCTCTTTAACACTTGAAAAAAGGTATTTGACAGCAGATTTGCCCAATGCACTACATCGTTACATTTCTTGATGGTTGCTTCCATGGGTGTTGACAGTGAAACCAAGTAAAATGAAATCCTTGACAATTTCAGTCTTTTCTCTGTTTATCATGATGTTGCTTAATGGTTCACTTGTGAGGATTTTTGCTTTCTTTATGTTAAGGTGCAATCTAGTTTTGATTTTCATCAGTAAGTGCTATAATCCTCTTGGTGTTAATGAGTCAGCCTGGAATCCTGATGCTGCATTTTTCTTCATACATTCAGTTGAGCTTTGTTATTACTTGGTTAGGATACAGACTGAAAAAGTACAGTGAAAAGCTACAACCCTGACACACATCTTTCCCTGACTTTAAACCACACAGTATCCCCTTGTTCTACTTGAAAGACTGTCTCTTGGTCTATGCACAGGTTCTACATGAGCACAATTAGTGTCCTAGAATATTCATTCTTCCCAGTGTTATCCATAATGTGTTATGATCCATGCAGACTAACGCCTTTGCATAGTTTGTAAAACACAGACAAACATCTCTCTGGTATTCTCTGCTTTTAGTCAAGATCCATCTGATGCCAGCAACAATATCCCTAATTCCACATCTTCTTCTGAAATTGGCTTGAATTTCAGGCAGTTTACAGTTGGTGTACTGCTACAACCATTTTTGAATGATATTCAGCAACATTTTACTTGCATGTGATATTAATGACATTGTTCAATAATTTTCTAATTCTGTTGGATCACCTTTCTTTGGAATGGGCATAAATACAGATCTCTTCCAATCGTTGGCCAGATAGCTGTCTTCCAAATTTCTTGGCACAGATGAGTGATTGCTTCCACTGTTGTATCCCATTTGGTAAAACATCTCAGTTGGTATTCTGTCAATTCCTGGAGCCTTGTTCTTCCCTAATGCATCCAATGCCACTTGGATTTCTTCCTTCAACACCATCAGTCCCTGATTACATGCTACCTCCTATACTGACCAATTCTTTTTGGTACAGAGACTGCAAATTCCTTCCATCTTCTTTTGATGCTTTCTACCCATAAAATCATTCAGAATTGCAACTCAAGGCTTACATTATTTTTTTTTTAGTTATTTCAGCTTGAGAAATGCAGAGGGTGTTCTTCCCTTTTGGTTTTCTAATCCCAAGTCTTTGTACATTTTATTATAATGCTTTACTATTTTTTCTCATGCTGCCCTTTGAAAATTTAAGGTATGCTCTTTTATGCCATCATTTGTTTCTTTTGTTTCAGCTATTCTACATTCAAGACCAAGTTTCAAAGTCTCTTTTGACACCCATTTTGTTTTTTCTTTCTTTAGTCTTTTAAAATGACCTTAGATTTTTATGTATGGTGTTCTTGATGTCATCTCACAACTCTTCTTGTCCTTATTCATCAGTGCTCAATGTGTTAAAAACATTCTTGAGACGATATCTAAATTTGGTGAGATATACTCAAGGTTGTACTTTTGGTTGTACACAGACCTGTTTCAATTTTTCCTTTGCTTCAATTTGAACTTGTACATAAACAATTGGCCATATGTTGTATAGTTGGCTGATGTGTTGACTTGGCTCTAACTGGTGATATTGAACTTTTCCATATTCTCTTTTCAAAGATATAGTCAGTTTCATTCCTGTGTATTTCATCTGGTGAGATCCATATGTATAGTCACTATTTATATTGTTGGAAAAGGTATTTGCAATGAACAAGTTGATGGTCTTGCAAAATTCTATCACGCAATCTCTGGCATCATTTCTATCACCAAGGCTATGTTTTCCAACTATTAGTCTGTTATCTTTGATTCCAACTTTCACATTCCAACCACCAATAATTATCAGTGTGTTCTGACATGACAAGGTTGCATGTTTGATCCATTTCAAACTGCAGAAATTGTTAAAAA